TGAAGCAACAAGTCACACTTCGCCATAACAACAAAGTCATAAAACGCGATTTTCAAACTGGCGACTTAGTTCTACGCAGAAACCAGAAAGACTCCCACGAGGGCAAACTGGCGGCGAACTGGGACGGCCCGTACCGAGTCCGGGACAAAACGGAGCATGGGGCCTATTACCTCGAAAACCTGCACGGTGAACAATTAGCTCGACCATGGAACGCCGCGAAGCTTAAGCGGTACTACAGTTAACACATTGCCCGCGACGACCCATCGTCCCGACCACTGGGGGGGGGGGGCGACATGGTACCACCGCACACCCCCGCGTCCACCAGCGACCAAAGAAAAGCAAGCCCTGCCTCTCGTGTGCGCGGGCAGAAAGGCCTTGCTCGGCAGGGAATACCTCGACCGAGGCTCCTCGCCGCCGTACCAAAACAGGCAGGACACCCAGCTCGCGATGGGCCGCCCACGCCCCGGGGAAAACTACCCCCGAAACGGCCCGGCTACATCCCCGGCCAAACCGGCCAGTTCCCTACACTACCGGTAACAAATTGTCGAGCTAAACACACCGAGCGCACACTTAGAAAATCTACAAGAAATGTCATACACATCAAAGGCATTCGAACAAATACGAAAAACGAGCATAAAACAACATGCAAATAACGAGCGCACACTTAGAAAATCCATGATAAATATATTTAACAAAAGCGGGCACCAGCCCAGTAGTCAATAGTACAAGAACGAGCACGCAGGCCCAAAGCAAAAGATAAACACCGGCACGCAGGCCACAAAAACAACGAGCACGCAGGCCCGGCAACCTATGCTTCCTCGTCCGCTCAGTCAGCAGCCACGGTTTCCTCCTCGGGGATAACAAGATAAGGATCGATCACCCTCCCATCAACAATCTCGTGGTACGGCCCTATCCCGTCCACGACCAGCTCGACACCAGGGTTGGCGACCTGAATCTGCTCGACCGCATTCTTGAACCCGACCTCAACGGCCTCCAGACAATCGCTCTCCAACACCCGGATACGGGCGATCAAGTCAGCACAGGTGATTAGCCGCCGATCCCCATCAGTCTCGTCCTCGGCCGGACGAACAGCGCTGTCCAAAACCTCCGTACGAACCTTCAGCGCCTGCACCTCGGCCGTCGCTGTCCCCAGCTTCTCCTCCAGCGAAGTCACCTTCCCCTCAGCACCCTCTGCCCGTTTCCGCTGCTCGGCAGCATCCTTCTGGCTCTTCTCCAACTCCTCAGTGAGCTTGGCCAACCGCGACTGCGTGAAAGTGAGATCCCCTTGCAGTTTGGACAGCTCAGCGGCGGAGCAGCCCTCCTCGTTCAGCACGAGAGCCGTCGTAAACGTCCGCATCATCGCGGCCAAGTCCTCAGCCAGGACACGTCGACGGGTCTCCCGATCAGCCTAGCGAACAGCCTTCACCTCCCCGGCGGAAACAGTGGGGGAACGGGCACCATGAAAATATCCCGGGTGCTGGTGGCAGGGAGGGACGACATAACCTTCCTCGACGGCGCCGACCGTCAGATCCACCACCCGAGGCTCCTCGGACCTTTGCCTCTTCGACACTCCTTGAGACACAGGGGATTGGCTCTCTTGAGGCGACGAGGACGAAGTTTGCCCCCCGTGCGTCGCGACCTCCTGACCGACCAGCTGACTCACCCTCGTCCTCGGGGCCACGGCATTCCTGGCAGCGCGCAACTGCTTCACCCGCTCGTCGACAGTAGACATGTTCGCTGCAAAAACAAAGAAATAGGTTAGTGACGATCAGAAACCCCGACCACGAGGGAAAACGAACATCCCTACCTAGATAATCCAGAGCGGCCGCCCCGGTCGCGCAGCCGAGCAAAGTCTTGGTATTTATCAAACGCTTCTTGGTGCGTATGTTCCCCTGGGCGTCGAGGATGTACCGACCGTCGGGCGTCACCAGCTTCGACGGGGGGAGTGACCGCACAAAAGCAATTATTTTCAAATAAGCGGCCATGTCCTTCTCCTCGAGGGTCCCCGCCCGGACGATATACCTATCCGTCCCTCGACTGAAATGCTCCGAGGTCCACAGTAGATGTATCTTAGGAAGCCACGCGCGGAACCGCTGGCCATCTACCGTGCGCTCGCCCTCGTCAAAGAGAGTGTCCGAGCCGTGCTGCGTGATCGGTTTGACGAGGTAGAACCGACCTTTGAAGTCTTTGACAGAATCGCTATACGCTTTGAAAATTTTGGTCGATTGTTTGAAAGAGACCCATCCGTGACGACCTCGCACTGTCTGCCGCTGCAAATGAAAGATGCGGAAAAATAACGGCACCGTCGGCTCCACCGAGAGGTAGAAACACACCACCTCGAAAGCCCGGATGAAAGCCAAAGCGTTTGGGTGCAGCTGAGACGGGGCAAGACGCAGCCAGTCAAAAAGCCCCAGATGGAAGGCGGAAAACGGTAACCGGAGCCGAGCTTCTTTAAAATAAAATTCGTACATCGGGAACATCTTCCGCCCATATCGCGAACAGATCCGGTGGTGCTCTTTCGGGCGGTACACCTGCCAGTGTTGCGTTTCTCCTATCGGCGTGTCCTCGACCGTGGCATACACGTCGGACGAGTCGACCACAAAGCAAGAGGGGATGGAAAGTGGCTCCTCGGCCGCCCACTCCTCGGACGGGGCGATACGCTCGTCGTCATACTCCGGGACCTCGGGTTCAGTATCTTCAACCATTATCCCCGGCACCAGAGCCGACATCTACACCTGAAAGCAGAGGACATCGGTGAATTCGATAGCCAGGATCAAATCCACCCTTCCACCGCAAGTCAAGTGAAAGGGCGACAAAGGCCGAGGAGCGACGAGCAGACATTCGCTCCCCGTCTACCCTCCTCGGGGATCGAAGAACGACCCCTCACCCCCTTCGGGACGGCCGTCGGAGAAGGTACTTCTCCCCGGAGCATTCATCAGAAAAAGCCCCCGTCCTCGGGGCATTCATCGGAGAAAAGCCCCCGTCCTCGGGGCACTCATCAGAAAAAGCTCCTGTCCTCGGGGCATTCATCGGAACTAGCCTACCGTCCCCGGGACATTCATCGGAAAACTCGCCAGACGCGGCGGAACTCGCATCCCTCCTCGGGGCGTTCATCCCGCCCCGACCACACGTTCCAGTTAGACGACGGAAATAAAAAGAGAGGGAAAAGAGGAACTCACTTGTAACGGCGGCGGACGGAAGAAAAGAGCAAACGGCACGGCGGCGATCGGCGGCAAGCGGCGGACGAGCAGAGACGATAAAAGATTAGCAGGGGGAAAAGTAACAGAATGAGCGGGGACCGCCATATTTATAACCCGGCGCGGGACTCGAAGCGACTCTAGGCTCATTAATGACATAGGTTAGCCGCCCCTACGACCGCTTAACACAAGACACGTGGAGGCAACCTGACAGTCGCGTCCCTTCATCTACCTCCTCCCCGTTCTACCGACGACCGGAGCCCTTCGTGCGAGTCCCCGCTCCAGACATGACGACCTTAAGTCCTCGCTCTTCCCCAGAGCTTCGACTTGGGGGGCTCCTGTTCCGGTATGGGCCTCACCTCGGCAGGCCCAATACCAAATGCGGCCCAACAAGCGAACTGGGCGCGCCTGGCACGCGCCCCTTCGAACGAGCAGGACTGGCCGCCGGGCACAAGCTACCGCTCCGCGTCCCTTTTGTCGTCCGTCACGCCGGACGAGCAAGACTACCCGGGCTCCCTCCGCGGGAGAATAACGTGCTCGGCGCACGTTCTCCACGTGCTCCCCTCCGCGGGGACACGTCATCGGCCAACCGCCCACCTCCGAAAGAGCAGGTCAAACCCACTTTCCGGAGACCTAGGAGCGGTTGAACTAGGGCGAAGACCACGTCCTGGTCTTCACTACGCCACGTAAGCCCTAGCAGTCATCAGGGTTGGGCCTGGTCGTCTGGCCCACCTCGAATGACCGTTGGCCCAGCGCTGGGGTCTCTCTATAAATACCCTCTTCTTCAAGAGGGTCAGGTAACTCTTCTTGCCCCTTTTTCTGTACTATTGCTTCCTCTCTGTCCAACTTCTTACTTGGACGTCGGAGTGCTTTGCAGGTACACCCCCTCCTCTTTCTTACCCCGGCGAACAGATAACCGTCCAGCGGAGTGTAGCCAGTCCGTGATCCCTCCTGATCAGGTCAGATCACTTTTTTTTATAGAAAAAGAGAAAAAAGAGTATGTATTTCACAAAATTATGTTTTTACTATTTTAGATACTACTCCTTTTTGAGTAAAAAAAGAATTTAAAATGAATTATTTATATCATTTTTTCAATGCATTTTTATAATTTCAGCCCTAAATGATATTTCATATTTAATATGAGATACTTTAATAAACATATTATTCTTTATTTATTTATTTATATAAATTTAGATGAATTTGTTAATGAATCACTCATTATAAAATATAAGATATATTTATAATAGAAAATTTATTTTTTAATTTTATTAAATAATAAATGTATCTGAATGGTATTTATATTGATTATTCAATGTATTTAAAATATTAATTCAAATTAAATAATTTAATAAAGATAAAAAATATGACCTGTTTTTTTATTTTTATTTCTAACATGCGACTCATTAAATTACCTAATTTGATTTAAAAGTTAGTTCTAATATCTAATAGTTTCAGTTTTGTTCTGATAACAACGGTGGAGATCGAACCCGATCCTCCATATATTTTTATTAAATTAAAAGTGTATTACTTTTAATCTAATAAAGAAAAATTAATTTTAAGTTGAATTAATTAAGTATTATTCAATGAACTCAACTCAATCAGACTAATTTAATAAAGACAAAAAGAAGGTAAGGGTATTATACGTCTAGTGCATTTTCCTTAGCGAGTAAGACACCGCCACTCCGTGTCCGAGTCTGAGTCGGCGTCCCAACAAAACTTAAACAACTCTTCGTACTCTCAAATTTCAATCAAACAATTCCAATACCAATTTCTCAAACTTCACTTCACTTCAATTCAATTGCGATGGCGAAACTTGAAGCTAAGCTAGGAATGATCGTTGACAAAGTTGGTCAATTCTTCTCCGGCACCGACCATCTTCCCTCCTGCGATTCCGACATCATCGCCGTAAGTCCCCCTCTATCTCTCTTTCTAATCGATCATCAAACGCAACCGTTTTTCCTTTTTAGGGTTTTCTTTTTTGCTTATCATCAAACAGCTTATAGCTTAGAATTTTTCTAGTTACACCAAAAACTTATTCTGGTTGAACCTAAATTTGTTTAGATTTTTAATTATGATATTGAAGTTGTGTATTCATGTATGGATGTAAAAACTTAATTCATGTGACACCAGGTGATCTTAATTCACATCAAAGTGATTTTTCTTTTGTTATAGAAATAGCTTATACATAAGTTCTTGTATTATAGGCACTTCAATAACTTGTTTATTCCGTCCCTTTTGATACGATATACTCATTTTGCCTGCTTTTTTAATTTGATGTATGTATATCTGTAGGGATGTGAAAGAGAGGTTGCTGAGGCCGAGAAACAACCCTCCTCTGATAAGTCTATGCAAGAATCTCTCTTGCGTTTATCATGGGCTCTTGTCCACTCAAAACGTCCAGAAGATGTGCAACGTGGGATAGCAATGCTTCAATGTAACCCACAATCTCTGGATCTATCTATTTTACTTAACTTGCAACTGTATTCAGCAGAGTAATACTGTTGTTATCTATGTGAAACTATGTTGATTGTAAAATTACTTGTGTATGGCAGCATCATTACCTAGCACAGTAGATCCGCTGCAGCAAAGGGAGAATCTTTATCTTCTGGCTGTTGGATATTATAGAAGTGGTGACTATTCAAAGAGTAGGGATCTTGTTGAGAAATGCCTCGAGGTATGGTTTTATTTCTATGGCCTTATATTTACTTGGTGTGCAGTTGGTTCTTTGGTGGTTGTTACTTAGTGTGTGTTTGGTTCTGCGGTGGTGGAAATTATTTTTGAATGAATTAATTTTGACTATAAGTGAATTGAAAGTAAAATGATTTATGTTTGGATATATTCATGTAAAAGTGAGTTGAATAAGAAATTAAAATGTTATAATCAATTCTAGAATCAAAAGCTACAATATTTAGCTTCAATTAGAATCAATTTTAGAGACAAATCAAATCTACTCTGGAGGAATCATACATGTTAAAATCAATTTTATACCTCTAGAATCATTTTCGGCTCCTACTAACACTCCTGACTATCTATGGAAATATTAGAACGGAGCCTTCCGCTTCTCTAATTCTTTAGTATCCGACACTTCATCCACTTTTTAACTATATTGTTATAATAGTTTCATCAGTTTCTCTTCTCATGTAGAAAAAATCACATCGCTGTGTTTTTGTCCGTTGTTTTAAATCATGTATGATTCAATTATGGATTTTTTTTTAATTGTGATAGTTTGAAGATGAAAGCTAACTAGAGAGAATGTACTTTCGAAACACTGGAAACAATGTTTTGATGTTTTTTTCCCTCAAAGACTAGATAATTATTCGATCTATTCATGTCAATTTCACCCTATCCGTTAACACCAGCATAACACAGCATCATTTGATATGATATCATTACATATTTTTCTTCTGCAGATTGCACCTGACTGGAGGCAGGCATTGACACTTGACACGGCAATTCAGGAACGGATTACAAAAGGTTCTCAACAATTATCAATGTTTCCCCACGAGTTTTCTGCCCCTTTTATCATATTGAAACCAATGAGTAGGGACTTGATTTGGGCACTAAATAACACTGACATTGTTTCTATTCCTCCATTGTAGATGGTGTCATTGGCTTGGGCATTGCCGCAACTGTTGCTGCAACTGCTGTTGGACTGATTGCGGGTGGGATTGCAGCAGCAGCATCTCGTAAAAGGTGACAGAATCGATTCTATTCAGTGTATGATTGCAGATGATGTGTAACAGGAAAACGTAAATTTTGCTGCATCTTACTGGCTTTAAAGAATGGAGCAAACAATGATGTGTACGAAGTGGTGGATATAAGATAAATATCTAAGTACTAGATAAGAGATATGATGTGTGTTTTCATGTTTTAAGAAAATTCTATATTTGTGTTTGTGTTTGCTTGTGTCTCCATCAATTTTTCTCCATCTTTCTGCCAAGCTCCTTGAAATATGATGTATGAGCCATTTCAGTAAATTGCAATTTAAACATTGGACAATTAAGACATTGATGTGAAGGTTGAATCCAAAATTTTGCTTTTATTAACATGAAACGTATCATAGCTATAGGAAAATCTGGGAAATGTTACAATGATTTGGCAGCTCAGATTATGTCATCTGTCAATACTAGCTGTAGGGAGTCTCTTCCTATGAGACACGGACACCGAATCTGACCCAAACACTGACACATCAGTAATAATTTTGAAAAATGAATAAATTAAACGTAATCACAAATATCGATGCTAGTATCTGATTCTCACACGGATACGTCATTTTTCATCAAGTTTAAGGTACATAGGTCTCTTCTAGTTAGGTTATACCTTCTAGTTACATTGTAAATATGTGATGTCACAAATCTTTGTGCGAGGTTTTACATGTGTCAACTCTTAGGTTGTGAATATGATATCACAAATCTTTGGGCGAGGCTTTACATGTGTCAACTCGGTGTGTGTAAGTCTTCTACATTGGAAGAAAACAAATCTCATTGTTTTTTTTTTTTAACTTTTAAACTAGCATTGTATAACTGAGATTTTGGTTTTTTTTTCTTCTTATAAATCATCTCTAAAAAAGTCTTTATTTGCAATAGAATAATTATGTAAAAATATATTCTTCATTGATAAATACATCATTAGTTTTTCTTAGTATTTTTATTTTTAAAAGATGTTGCAATGCCTTATGAAAAAAAAGAGAGAAACATTGAGGTTTAAATTATTATGATTTTATTGGTCAATTTGGTAAAGAATTAAATGCCTAAGTTATTAAAACCCTAGTTTTGAAAGAAACTAATCACCAGACAAAGACGAAGCTTTTTAGAAAATTGGTATACAATGATGTTTTATTGTCTGGATCAAATAAAATTGAATAAAGTAGACCAGAATTAAGTGGTAAAATAATTTACTTTCCTTATCAATTGAATAAAGTAGAGGGGAATTAAATTGTAAAGTGGGTAGTCTGTTCCGTTTAGATCCGTTACATTTAAGTTCATTTAAAAGTGGGGAGGGATGAATCAACTTAGACATTTGAGTTTAAAAGTCAACCTTATTTACTGACGAGTTTGCGGATCAGTTTACAATTTGATTTACTATATAATTTACAAAAAATTTGTAATGTAAATTATTTATCGATACAAAAGAAACCGACAAAATTTAACAATTCACATTAAAACTTTAACAAGTCTTAATGCAAATGTCATATTCTTTTAACATAAACAAATAACATGAATATAATACAAAAAACTTAAAACAAACACATTAAAATCAAAAATTCAAAACTTTATTATCATAATGAAAAACAAACTCTTATATGTAAAATTTATCTTATAGCCTTAGAACTCGACTCTATTAACAACAAGTAATAGAAAACGTAAAATGTTTCTATTCAGCGTATGATTGCAGATGATGTGTAAGAGGAAAACGTAAATTTTGCTGCATCTTACTGGCTTTAAAGAATGGAGCAAACAATGATGTGTACAAAGTGGTGGATATATGATAAATATCTAAGTATTAGATAAGAGATATGATGTGTGTTTTCATGTTTTAAGAAAATTTTATATTTGTGTTTGTGTTTGCTTGTGTCTCCATCAATTTTTCTCCATCTTTCTGCCAAGCTCCTTGAAATATGATGTATGAGCCATTTCAGTAATTGCAATTTACACATTGGACAATTAAGACATTGATGTGAAGGTTGAATCCAAATTTTGCTTTTATTAACATGAAACATATCATAGCTATAGGAAAATCTGGGAAATATTACAATGATTTGGCAGCCCAGATTATGTCATCAGTCAATACTAGCTGTAGGGAGTCTCTTCCTATGAGACACGGACATCCTGAGTTCGACTCAGACACTGACACATCGGTAATAATTTAAATAAATAAATTAATTAAACGTAATCACAAGTATCGGTACAAGTATCTGACTCTGACACGGATACGTCATTTTTCATCAGGTCTAAGGTACATAGGTCTCTTCTAGTTAGGTTGTGAATATGTGATGTTACAAATCTTTGTGCGAGGTTTTACATGTGTCAACTCTTAGGTTGTGAATATGTGATGTCACAAATCTTTGTGCGAGATTTTACATGTGTTAACTCTAGGCGTATGGAAGTCTTTTACATTGGAAGAAAACAAATCTCATTGTTTTTTTTTTTTTTTAACTTTTAAACTAGCATTGTATAACTGAGATTTTGCTTTTTTTTCTTCTTCTTATAAATCATCTCTAGAAAAAGGTCTTTATTTGCAATAAAATAATTATGTAAAAATATATTCTTCATTGATAAATATGTCATTAGTATTTTTCAGTATTTTTATTTTTAAAAGATGTTGTAATGCCTTATGAAAAAAAAAAGAGAAACATTGAGGTTTAAATTTTTATGGTTCTATTGGTCAATTTGGTAAAGAATTAAATGCCTAAGTTATTAAAACCCTACTTTTAAAAGAAACTACTCACCAGAAGAAGACGAAGACGAAGCTTTTTAGGAAATTGGAATGCAATGATGTTTTATTGTCTGGATCAAATAAAATTGAACAAAGTGGAGCGGAATGAAGTGATAAAATATTTTACTTCCCTTATCAATTGAATAAAGTAGAGTGGAATTAAGTGGTAAAATATTTTATTCACTTATCATTAGGGGTGGTAAAACGGGTAGTCCGTCCTGTTTAGATCCGTTCCATTTAAATCTATTTAAAAGTGGGAAGGGGTGGACCAACCTAGACATCTGAGTTTAAAAGTAAAGTTCGCTCCGTTTACTGACGAGTTTGTGGGTCAGTTTACAATTTTTTTTTATAATTTAACTTACTACATAATTTACAAAATTTTTAATCATTACAAAAATGGGCGACAAGTTTTAACAATTCACATTAAAACTTTAACAAATTTTAATGCAAATGTCATATTCTTTAACATAAACAAATAGTGTGACTGTAATACCAAAAACTTAAAACGAACACATTAAAACCAAAAATTTAAAACTTTATTATCATAATGAAAAACAAACTCCTCTATGCAAAATTTATATTATAGCTTTAGAACTTGGCTCCATTGACAACAAGTAATAGAAAATAGAAAATAATGTATTTTCTATGTTTAACAATAAATATTTTTTCTACTATGAGTGAAAATAAAGAACGAAGTAGAGACCAATTGATGTCTTCAAGATGAAGTGTTTATGATTATGTGAAAAATGAATATTAGGGATTGAAGAAATGAGAGTTGTTTTAAAAGTATGTATACTACATATCATGTTAATATTGTTTTAATTGCAAGTAAAATTTTTTTTAACAAAAAGCTCGTGGGCAAAATTCGCCCAGCCCCGTCATCGGCCTATTTTAAAAGTGGGTTAGGCGGGGCGGACAACTTAAGACATCGAGTCGAAAACCTCACCCGACCCACCAAAAACAGTGGAATAAATGGGTGAGCCCAATCCATTTTATCACCCCTACTTATCATATATTTCTTTCCTTTTGACTTTAATGGAATAAGAACTTGTCTTATTTTGTTATAAAATATCCAAATGTTCAAATAAAATTTCGGTTCCGCTTTATTCCATCTATTCTATTTCATTCATCTTATTTTCATTTCACTAATGATATCCAAACATATGAGAATTGCCTTGAAACTTCCTAGTGGCCTCGACAATAGAGAAGAAAAGGGTAATTAAGAGGAAGTTGGTCTCCCCACAACTCAAAATTCATGGGCTATGTAAACACTATACTTCATCCGTTTTAAAATGACTCTTATCTTAGCAAAAAAAAAAAATTTAAATGAATATTATTATCACTTTTCATTATATAAATGATTATTATTTTTCTAATTGTATCTTTTAATTATTAATTTGTATACTACATTAAATACTTTTATAAGACTAATTTAGTAAAAAAAGACAATATCTTATACTCCCTTTGTCTCATTCATCCCACAATGAGTGACCAATTTGACAATTCCACGCGCATATAAAGTTAAGTTGCGAGTCCAGTTCAGAGTGGGGATCGTGACGAGAATGAGTTGAGTCGATATTGCATTCCATTACATAATGGTTGTGCAAATGAGATGTTTGTGTATTGATGAATACTCTTAGGTAGACATATCATATGAGTTCCTAGGTAAAAATATTACGGGTAGTGATTAAGTGAGAAGATTGTAAATTAAAGGTTGTTTACTGAGGCTTCAAATTAATACTATTGTAGTGGATTTCCTTCCTGGCTTGGAAGTCCTCAGATGTAGGTGAGGTTGCACCGAATTGGGTTAACAACTTCCTTGTGTTATTTACTTCCTCCAATTTTGTTTAAATTGTTCATTGTTAATTCTGCCATTATGATGTCTTGGCATTGCATTTGAAATCCTGATTTTCTGACATCATATACGACATTTATCCACTTAGTGCTAGAATTTTAGATTTTATGTCTACTCGTATACATAAGTGGAACTATGGTAAAGGGAAAAATGCGATGTTAAGTTTCTTGGACAGGGAGACAAATACGACACTGTATATTCAAGTAATAGGGTAACCCATATCAGGAATTGTCGTCCATTTATCCTTACCTTGCACACCCAAGATTTTTACTCATAAGGCATTCCTAACTATAGAGGTCGTGTGATAGTACAATTTGAAATACAATTGAGGGTGTTGAACTTCAATATCTAACTATGTCCAAACTAAAGCCCATGACTCTTCGCCCCATCCAAGTAAAGATGCAAGAGCATGAAAGCCATAATTTCCATCTTTATCAACACCAACAATACCATCAATGTATACATGTAAGAAATAAGGAAATTGAAATAAGTATACATGTCTCAAAGATTCGGTGGACGACTGACTTCTAGATGACATATATGATGGTTGAATTCCATTTGGTTTTGTGCATCATCTCTTTGTAGTTTGACTCCCATACGAGCCCTCATCATACTCCTACAATGAAGGATCACGATGCACATCACTCTTTTGACCCTTTCTGCTCTTCTTAACTTCCATCTTTGGCTTGTACTTCACCAGCGGTGGACACATAGAAGTTGTAGATGGATGTGTTAGTTCTCGAACCTTTTTCTTCAATACCTTCTGGCCTACAATATCCAAAGTAGTGAAATATATCTTTAACTCTTCACACTCCACTTCTGAATCCAATTGTGTACCACTATCTTCATGATTGACCTCATGGTCATCAATATGTAATTTCTTCCAAAATACATGAATTTATTCTAAAGGAGCATGATCACCTTGTATTTGAAAACCGACAAGTTGACACACACATGGTAACCTATGTGTTGTTCTAATGAAGCAACCACACGCATCTTGGTTGACACCAATAAATTTTATCCTTTATAGCTCCTTTCTAATGTGTTATATACACTGCCTTGAAATGAAACCATGCAATCTGGCATAAAATAGATTGTTATATCAATGCTCAATGTTGACAATACTTTTTTGAAATGACACCTTGATTGATCTTATCCGCAACTTCTACATGGTTTTCAAAGCATCCCAACTTCGACATAAATCTCTCCAACTCATAGTCAACATGTTTTTTAGTTTCCAATGAGCAGACTCCACCATAAAAACTATAAATAGAAATATAATGTTAAATTATGTTTAGTAATGTAATAACTTCAAACTCACATCCATGTACATGTTTGTTGTTGTGTTCCCTAAATGAGTGAGTCTATTAGTCCAAGTAGTAACGAACATTTCTTTATAAGGTGTCAACCATGTTTCACTCACATATTTAACAAATAAAAGGATATCAACACAAACAACCTCAAAATGCTTCAAGTGTTCCACAAACTCAGTCTCTCTATTTGAATACATGATGTTGATCTATAGATCTATGACATGTTCTTGTTTTTCAAGTTCTCTCTATTTGGAACGTTCCATGTTAATTTTTTTTTTTTTTGAAATATGGAACGTACACAATAGATGAATTTGAAAACACAAATTCTATGACATTCATCAGTGCAAGTTTCTGGTCCGTCACCACAACCTTTGGTAGCAAATTCTTGGAAGAGAACAACTCTTTGAGCTTCTCTAGTGCCTATGTGAAGTTCTCTTCCCTTTCATGTTTCAAATAGGCAAAGCCAACGAAAAACGTCAACTTTGTTGACGTAATATCAACAATATTAAGTAGTGGTATCCAATACCTTAGATAATTGATGACTGTGCAACCCACACCTAACTATCAACTTCCAACTGCTATCACTTAGCACAAATCTCAGCCTAAAAAGGCACTTAACTTTCATACTATAAATGCTTTATGTGGAATTTTGCTTTCAAATGTATTCTTCCTTTTGTAGTTTCTTCCTCTCTCATCACCCATGATAAATTTATCTCTCTTCCCTCGCATTTCATTTGTGGTATTAGAATGAACAATGACAACGAAAATATCATGTTGTTTACTAATGGAGCGTGCCCATGCTAATACCACACCTCAGGAGGAACATATATGTCATTTACAACATATAAATAATAAACTATCAATATCATATTGACGTAAAAACCTTTAAATTTTTAACAAGTTAAAAAGAAAACATACCGCGTCAGTGATGAAGAACTATATAGGAATCAGTGGATGAGCCTTTTAGTTTTGACTGTAATGGTAAAACATTATTCTGTACTACCTGATTTTTTGGACTTGGGCAAATTTCTGGTAGATCGGGTTTTTTTTTTTGGAAATTTCCAATTTTTTGGGAGATTATCGAATTTTTCCAAAATTTTCGGTAATGTTTTCTTATTCCTAGAAGATTACCGAATTTTTCAATTTTTCTGATAATTCTTCATTGACAATTTCATAAAACTCGGTAAAATTGAATGTTTTTTCTCTATCTTAAATTTCCAATATAAATGCAAACTTTTCACAAAATGGAAAAAAAAATCCATATTGTAAATTTTGATTTTAACTACCGAAAATTTCAAATTTAACAACATAAAAAAGTAATTTTTTTTACCAATTGTAATTTTTGGATGGTAAATAATATAAGAGTTTTTCTTTGTCGGTAGAAAAATATATGATGTGCCAAGTATAAGTTGGAGAGTGACAAATTAAAACCTTCGTATATAACTTTGAAATTGCGGTATTCAATTTGGATCGGTCGACCTCAATGGTTACAAAAGCTCATTTTGTTGTATTGTTTGGAGTTCAACTCCTAATGTCATTAATTTTTTCTTCTTCTTGTTAAGTCAATTCAATTGATAATGTGCAATGATATCAAATACAGAGATGTGAGTTCGAATTTGCGACATCCTATTTATTTATTTAAAAAAGATGAATTTAAAACCAATAAATTACTTTTAAAAAATTATATATTTTTTATTTTGACAAAAATATTTCATTTATTCAATTTTCTATTTTAAAATTTATTTATAAATAATACCTCTAAAAATTTGTTATAATATCGACAATGTCGATTGTGTTCGGTAAAAAAGGAAGTAAAGGAACTATAAGTGATTTTATCTTTTTAACATTATACATAATTCTTATCTACTTGTAAGTATTTTTAAATTTATTTTAAAAAATTAGAAAAAAATTATGATGAATTATAAATTATTTTTATAAACTCTTTAAGATAGTCTATAAAACAATTTACAATTTAAATGAAATGATTCAACCTTTATTATAAGCAACAAATTAAAGTATAAGTATTTATTCAAGGGTATAATCGTAGTTTCATCTAACTGAATCGTGGAATGTGTAGAAGAACGAATGAAATGCAGAAACACAGAGAAAAGAAGAACAATGTTGAGAAATTTATCTGCAACACTCGAATCTTCTAGAAAGATCCTAACTTCACCTCCGTCTAAATGGCGGATTCAACCTCCTCCCTCTCTCTACTCCACCGCCTCCTCCGATCCACGCGACACCCCGCCTAAGCTTCTAGTGGTTCAGCCTCGTCTCCGTTCCGAAAAGCTCTTACAAGCGAAGCTCAACGAAGCACTATGTCTCGCTAATTCACTTGAAGACCAACGTGATGGTTATTTCCATACTGATTTCTTTGACAAGCCTTTACCTCCTCATGTGCTTGTCCAGAATCCTTCGCTTAAAGGCCATAAGCCTCGTGCAGGTTCGGTTTCTAACTTGGAGTTTCTCGCTTTTTTGAAACGTAATTTTCTGTTTTTTTGATTTTGTTTATGGTTTTTAGATACTTATTTTGGACCTGGAACGGTTGATACTATCAAGTGCCATCTGAATGCTGTAGAAACAAAGGTAAAAAATTGTGCTTTTGTTGCTTTTTCATGTGATTGGTTATTTAGGGTATTGAATTGTATTTTGATTTTGATTTGTGTGTAACAGGGTGAAGTGGATGCCGTTTTTGTTAATGCAACTCTGTCTGGTATTCAGCTTCGAAATATGGAGGTAAATGTTGTTTGTGTAATTTGTAATTGAATGTGTGAGATGCTGTCACATTAGTCATTGAATAACCCCCAAGGGTTGGCCTGATAGTCAAGGTCTCAGGTTCAAATCCCACTAAGTGCTAACAATCTTTGTGTTCTGCCAATCCATATAAAGTTTTGCTCTGACTTTAAATGGGTTTCCCGCTAGTGGACGGTGGGAATGACCTCCCTGGTTTATTCGGTCTGGTCGGATACCAAGTTTTCAAAAAAATAAAACATTAGTCATTAACATTTAATAGTTTGGTCAATTTGGTGTTCAAATGTGTCTTATGTCTAGCCTATTCACTTGAACCTATCAACACTATAAAAAAAACATACCTAAATGCGTCAATTTGGTGTTCAAATGTGTCTTTTGTTTGTTACTTGTTAGTTTGGTCCTCCAACCTGTTTTTTGTTAATACGTTGTTTGGTCCATAAAATTACTACTAACAAGACACACTTGGGGTTGTTTTTGTAATTTTGGTACATTCAAAGGACTTTAGTGACAACGCCTCACACATTTTAGAGACTAAAAGGAGTGTTTAGTGTTTACTCATTTTTATTTAGGAATGGAAAGTTGTGTAATTTTGACAATGATGTTTTGTTACTGCTAGAGGGCTTGGAGTAAACCTGTGGTGGATCGTGTTGGTCTTATAATTGAGATTTTCAATGCTCATGCATACACTAAGGAAGCCAGGCTTCAGGTTTGTAATGTGGTTTCGTTGGGCTGTTTAATGGTTTATGCCTGATGGTATTGTCTATTGAATCAAATTGGATTTAATTGAGTTGAATCTCTTGTTGTTTTGTAACTTAGAGTTATACTTTGTCATCTTTGTAGGCTGAACTTGCAGCTCTGTCATACAAGAAGTCGAGACTCGTTCGTGTTCTTGGCCCTGGTGGTCGCTACACATTTGGTGCTTCTGGAGAAGCTGAAGTTGTTAGTGCTCGAGGGTTGTCTTTTATTATTACTTCATTCCCCTATTTTTATGATTTTGATGGCTTTTTTGAAGTGGAAATAACATTATATTGAAAACTTTAATTGGTGAATGGGTTAAATTGCAATATAGGAAATTTGAACTCTTATGGGAATCTATTACTTTTTTGCTTGGGATGGTTGTTTTGGTTGCCAAGTATTACTTGTCATAACGGTTTGGTTTTCTGTTTACATTGTGTTTGTTATGAACTACAACTGTCATTGAAAACAGATTATAATTTATATCCCTTTTCTTCACGTGCCCTTTCTCTTATGCATATATTTCTGGAAGAATGTGTAGTTCTGTGAATCTATGCATGTCTAGCCTAATCTATAGTATCATTAATTAGTAAATTGTTGATTAGAAGAATAACATCGTAGCTTGGTACTTGTCAATATCAGGAGAGGAAGTGGGGGCCAAGGTTTTATGAGCGGGGCTGGAGAAACTGAACTTCAGCTTCAGCGACGAAGGTATATTATAACTGATACTAAATTTGCAAGATACATACATTTATCCTTAAGCAATCTATTCCTGCTTTTTCTAGGCATAGCTTATGGTTTCCTCATAAATTTGTATTATTTTTAAAGCTGTTTTTCACATTTTCACTGCATCAAGTCATTGCAAACATTCACTGTAATTGTGTTTGTGGCCACAATAGTATTTGGATTGGATGGCACAGATGTTAAGAGGAAGTGTATGTTATAGGTTATGAAACCTATTGATGGGCTAGAGACGTGTCTACTTATGCGTCTAGCGGTATCTTACTGCAAGTGCACAGCCTATCGAAGTAATATTTAAGATTATTGATACACAGGGATTCTATGGTTACTTAGTGCTAGATGAACTTCTAGTTTAGCTAAGGCGAATGGTTGTCACGATTTTTTTGTTGATTTTTAAGACTATTAAAGGCGGGATTAAATTTAAGTTTTAATAAAGTAATACTAAGGCGGTCGGTATGTAATTATACTAACTTAGGTGGGTCAATCTAACCTAGGCTTATAAAGGTGTTCACTTAATCTATTCGGTAGAGATTACCAGTTTAAATACCCTCAACACACACTCTCGTGGTCTTATATCAGATCTTATCCCTAAAGGCCTATGCCTGCTCTCGCTAGCCCATAAGTGTTTAGAGGTAATTTTTGGAAACTAAGTAATTCTAATTTATCTTAAAGCGCTCTCGCTGTGTTTAATTTAAATGCCTAACTTTAGCTATCTGGTTAAAATCTCACACTCTCGTGGTCTTGACCTAACCTAATACTCTTTTCTTACTCTCGTAACGAAAAGGTCTATTTCAATTAAAAAGTATCAGCCAGAATGTTAAGTGATTAATTATTTTTAGCCTATGGTTATATTTTACCGGTTAAGTTTGTTATAACTACATACCGCCCTAAGGTGTTTAACTACTCATCGATGTTGAATCAGAAAATTTAATAATAACGTACTCATGGCAGAAAAATAAATACACATTATAATTAAATTAAATTGCAATATAATGAAAAACCTGGTTAACAAATATTCGAGCAGACTCCTTCTTCCACAGACCGGAAAACTTGGAGTTGGCGGAAATTGAAAATAAACGAATGCTGAAGGTTTAGAAACAAATAAATGTATAACAATTTCCTGATGTTGGAAATTGTTATATGGCGGGTTTGGATACAATAAAAAACGAAACAGAAAACTAAAAATAATGCAGGAATAGAAAGGCTGGTTCGTAATACAGTTCGGCAGAGCTTCCGCAGGAATTTGAATAAAAAAATGCTCTCCTCCGTTGTTCATAGAACTTGTACTATTTATAGAATCCTTAATGGGCTGGATTTTTGGACCTTTGTTGCATGGCCTTGCTGAATTTGTGGAAGGAATGCAGGAACGTGACAACAAAATAGGAGAAATGGTCTTCACGTAATGCCTTGACGTAGTCTGAGTCAAAAACCTAATTTTACCCTTGTCACGGTCGTGACAAGGTCTTCACGTTCGTAACTTGTGGTTTTTAAGTGTCACGGTCGTGACCACTCTCTTACGGTCGTGATGGCTCAAATTGGGGTGTCACGGTCGTGACACCCTTGTGACGGCCGTGACTGCAACAAATTATGCAGTCTTTTGCAGGCTTCTTCATTTCTTCATCTCTTTATGGTTTCTTTTGTTCCTTTTGCTCTTAATTCATGATTTAGCTCCATATAATGATGTACCTGCAAAATGGTAAGAAAAACTCGAGAAATCGAGTGTTAAAACGGTGAATATGCGATAAAACGTTAATGAAACCTAGCAATATAATCGATGCGTTTTCTCGTTATCACCTATATTCACTCTAAATTAAGATTTGATCCTGCCAAACTCTGGTCCTGATTGATTCTCGTTAGATTTAATGAACAGCATTGTTAGGAGTTTTGTGGTGTTTCAAACTTCCATGCATGCAGGTTTATTTGAAATTTGAGATTACCCTGTTCTTTGTATTTATATGTAGTTCCACTGGATATTTCTCCTGTCCATGATGTATGAACCACTTGCTAATATGCAATTACTATTACTAATTCCACATCAGTAGAACATTTTTTTTTGTGATCACCTCTTATTACATAGTTTGGTTGCTGAATTGTTAAACTCTTTTAGAGTCTTAGAAAGGAGAAATTATCTGCTAACGCAAATTGATGAGGTTCGTCGTACCCGTGCTGTGCAACGTGCTGGTCGGAAGAGGCAAGGGGGTTCGTCTGGACATCGCTTAGCCACCGTTGCTGTTGTTGGGTATACAAATGCTGTAAGTCGTCTACCTGTATAAATATATATATGTTTGCTATTTATTGTTATTAGACAGCATCACTTATTTATGCCTTTCTTTGTTTTTTATCAGGGAAAATCTACGTTAGTTAGTAATCTAACGGACAGTGATCTGTATAGCGATTGTCGGTAAAACCACTTTTACTTGTATTTGTTTGCATCCTCAAAAGTTATACTGTATTGACTTCATAAATTTCAACTTTCTGCGGTGTTACGTGTATTGCAGACTATTTGCTACAGTCGATCCTAGGTTAAGAAGTGCAGCTCTTCCTTCAGGGTAATGTGATCAGTAAATCCGAATATTCTAATTTTTTTCATACACTGGTTGGTAACATTGGTTATACATATGTATACGTCACTGTTCTAATTTTATTTATAGGAGGAAAGTGCTTTTTAGCGACACTGTAGGATTTATATCTGATTTGCCTGTTCAGGTAATGACAAATGCATGAGCAAATTGCAATGTCAGCATTGTTTGTTTATTGATCTTGTCAATATTATTTGTCAACAATGACACACATATGTCCTTTTTTCTCTTTCAAATTTTGAAGTTAGTGGAAGCATTTCATGCAACTTTAGAAGAAGTGGTGGAAGCAGACCTACTTGTGGTATGATTTTGCATCTCATCTGATTCCAATTCTTACACCAGTTTCAAAAAGTCATAAAATCAACTTGGAATTTAGTCACTCATGCCCATAAGACTCTGTTGTCAAATATCAGTCATGGCAGCAGTGTAGTGGATTGTGGTTCCATGGACAATTTTTGTAGGATGGTTGCCCCATGGCAATTTATGGCCCAATATAGTAGTTTTTAAATGAAGAGTTTTTTGCTTTCTGCCATCAACAACACTGAAAAGATTCATTTCTGGCATTTTGTAATTACTTTTGTCTACAAATAAATAAAAAGATTATCCACTTGAAATTTCGTCATTTATGCGGGCATAACAACAGTAGTGACAAATCTATCTTTTTTTGAAGCATGTCGTGGATTCTACTGCTCCCAATCTTGACGAGCATCGCACAACAGTGTTACAAGTTCTTCAACAAATAGGGGTGTCACAAGAGAAGCTTCAAAATATGATTGAAGTTTGGAATAAGGTAAAACAATTATCTCCCTTCCAAAATTCAAGAAAAAGGATTGTATATATAATGTATATCTGCTAATCTCTGAAAATGTTCAGATTGATGCTGAAGAAGAGTGTATGGATGATGATGAATATCTTGATGAAGATGAAGAGGCTGATGAAACTAGCAACCTTGATGGAGAAGAGGATATGAATACTGAGACATTAATGAAAACTGAAGTAGTCAATGAGAAGTCACTGTGTGAGTCTGATGTCATTGAAGAAAAAGAAGACTATTCCAATGATTGGTTGTATGAGGACGATACAATGGTTAAGGAAGGTGATTTTTGTTCTCCTTCCTCTGTGGCTGACGAACAGAACGAGGCCTCTAATAAAGACAATGGTGTGGAAAATGTTGGCGCCATGCTACCTTCTGGCCCACATGTGAAAACATCTGCCATCACAGGTGTTGGTTTGCAAGAGTTGATGGAACTAATAGATAAGAAACTAAGTGAACAGGATAAGAAATTGAAGGGTGCACAAGTTGTTGAAAGAAATGTATTTGATAGAAAATGGAGGCCCTCATATACACAAGATTCTAGCATTGTAGTAGAAAATTAGCTTGTTTTGTGTTCTTCGGCCGTTATTTTTCTGCTACATCTTTATCTTGTTAACAGTTTTGCTATCATAAAAGAATTAGTGGAGATATTTACGTTACGATATTTTTGTACGGTGCAAAAGGGTGTATCTTACGGTCACTAGATTGTCAAATTTATTTACTAGTTGGTGGTGATGATGCATACTCATCATAGCAGGATGCTTATTAATGTGCTATATCTATAATGTAAAAGAAAAGAAATTCTGTTGCAGATAGGGGGTGAGACTTGGTATGTTTGTGCTAGCATTTAGCTTAGTCTTAATTTGTATTTGTAAGATTATATTGATTTTTTAGAATTTTTTTAAAAGATGTTCACGATTTCAGTTTGAATTTCAAAAATATTATAATATAGATTTTTAAAATTTTGTAGTATTTATCAATTTTTAAGTTTTAAAAGTACTTAATGAATTTTACTAAAAAATAGAGTAAACATAAAAACATATAAAATAAATTATAAATTAACATGGTTCTTAATTATTAAAAAATAAAATAATTTCTACATTAAAAAAATATAACAAAGTAATCTTGACATCATATTCTTCTAAATTCTCCTAAATTATTGATGCTATTGCATTTGATAAAGAAGGTCGTTTGTCTGTATCAAAGATTGTTTAATTAATATTGACTTTGAATGCCCAGTTCTAAAATGACAAGTCATGTAGGAGAGTCAAGTTCAAACTAATGATCAATTCTAAAATGACAAGTCATGTAGGAGAATAGAAACATAATTAACCTTTACCCATAATAGTAGGACTAAAACCTATAATTTTATCTGATAACTCTAACTTGGATAAACCAGAGAATAAATGGCGGGTTCCCTATTTACAAAAGAAATCAATCACTGCCACGTCATTACCATGATAAAGTATAGAAACAATCCGATCACAAATAAATGGTTTTGATAAGAATTCAAATTATCACATTTTTAATCTATACTCATACATTTAACATTTGTTCTAGGCCAGTCAAAGGCTTAAGAAAATTGACCCAACTCTAAAGCTCAACTTAAAGGATCCTATTGAAGAGTGACAAACAGTTGGAGACACATTGAAAGATTTCACATCTAATTCAAAGTGCTTGTTCATCACATAATCAGATCCAATCAAACAGCTCCCCGACAACCTATCATAGATCAAGCGAGTGCTTTTAACCACTCACCATATATGAATCCGTCACATATCATAACAAACATTCATTAACTTTTACTCTTGTAAGTTACCTTACCAACTTGAGCGTTGAAATGTTAACCTTACAGGTTCATCATCGCTTCATCGCACCGAAGGATCACGCCACTACATCAGAGAAGCTTCTTAACTCCGTACCCCTAATCTCTCGTTATGAAACAAAAGAACACCCAAAGTCAATCACACACCTAGCGTTATTGTTCTAACCAAAAGCTAACATAGCACTATGTTGATTCTTTAATAGATTCAATTTGAAGTTCACAAAATCACAATTCTCTACAAAGAAAATGACCAAATGTTGCACATGTCACATATGTAATTCTTCTATTTAGAACAATGAAGGTGTTGACTTGAAAATTCTGAATTAAAACTAAATATTTAAAGTAATTTGTATTCTCTTCATCACATTAATGTATGAGATTGAATAACAATTATTTTCTATTGGAATCATAAATGGTGTTGATCTTCGTTGTAGGACCTAAAAGCGATGATGCTGATTGTAACACCTCAAATTTAACTGGAATATTTATTTAATTGTTTAAATAAGAATATTTATTTTTCGATAATTTTTTAGGTTGTGTGGATTATTGGGAATTATGCATTTTTGAGTTATTTATTTAATTAATAGTATATAATATGAAATTATAGATATTATTATTATTTAAAATAAATATAAGTGAAATAAGGGCAAATTGGACAATTAAGAGGAGTTAGTGAGGGTACTATGGGAAAAGCCCAGTTGTGAGACTTAAGACTAGGTTTAACAAAAAGGAAATTCTGAAGGGATTAAGATTCATTTGTTAGACCGTGAAGAGAATTGAGGCCAGAGCTCTGAGGAGCGAGAATTGGAGGCAAAAGCTTCAAAAGGTTCCCGAAAAGATTTGAGAAGGCTTTGATAGACAATTAAGGTATGGGGAGTATTACCTTCATGATTTTCTATGTGTAAATTTAACGTATTTAAGGTCGATTTAAGGTTTATGGATTTTGAGGGTGGATATGAGAAAAAGTGATCTTTGGCCTTCGTGGCCTAAATCTATTATTTGTGAATCTAACCGTGGAATTCATTGGGGAAAAGGAAAGTTAGGCCTCCGTGGTTTTAGGAGGAAAAGTTGGAAGCGTCTTCGTATTGAAAGACGAGTGTCGAAGTCATGTTTGAGGAGATAGACGTGTCTTGCAAGCTCAGATGACGTGTGCAGTGTATTGTTTTGAGTTAAGCTAAGTGCTTACGAATTGTTTGATGAGTCGATGCAGGATGGAGCTGAGATGTTTATTTTGATGGGAACTTTTTTGTGTTAATCAAAGTGGGGAAGTTGGTGGGTTGCCAAGTAATTATGATTATCTGGAAGTTTTCCTGATGAGATAAGTGATGTACCGCCGAAACGTGGAGTGGAGTTTGTGATCGACTTAGTTCCCGGAACTAGTCCGATATCGATGGCTCCATATAGTGTGTATGCATTGGGATTGAAATAGTTGAAGAGTCAACTTGAAGATTTGCTTGAGAAGAGATTCATTCGTTCGAGTGTGTCACCGTGGGGTGCACCAGCTTTGTTGATTAAGAAGAAAGAAGGTTCAGTGAGACTTTGTGTGGATTGTAGACAAGTGGACAAGGTGACTATCAAGAATAAGTGTTCACTTACAAGGATTGATGATTTGATAGATCAGTTGGTTGTTGCAAGTGTGTTCAGTAAGATGGATTTGAGATCTGGGTATCATCAGATTCGTGTGAAGGCTGAAGATATTCAGGAGACTACTTTTAAAACAAGGTATGGACATTATGAGTATTTTGTGATGCCATTGGGTGTGACTAATGCACCATGTGTATTTATGGAGTATATGAACAAAATTTTCCATACTTATTTGGGCAAGTTTTTTATTGTGTTCATTGATGATATTTTGATATATTCGAAGAGTAAAAAGGATCGTACTGAGCATCTGAAAATTGTGTTATCATCATTGAAAGAGAAGCATTTGTATGCGAAACTGTCAAAGTGTGAGTTTTGTTTGGAGGAAGTGAGTTCCTTATTCATGTGATCTCGAGTAGGGTTATTGTGGTTGATATGTCGAAGGTTGAAGCTGTATCGCAATGGGAAGCTCCAAAATCTGTTTTTGAGATTAGAAGTTTCTTGGGTTGGCAGATTATTATTGAGGATTCATTGAAGGGTTTCTCCAAGTTATATTTTCCATTGATGCAGTGGACTAGGAAGGTTCAAGATTTTGTTTTGGATGCAAAGTGTGAAGAAAGTTTCAAGAGCTTTTGAGAAGGCTGTCAACAGCTCACGTTTTGATTTTGCCGAATCTGGCAGCACCATTGTTGTATATTGTGATGCTTCGTTGATGGGATGGGGAGGTGTGTTAATGCAACATCAACAAGTTTAGCTTATGCTTTAAGGCAACTTAAAGTGCATAAGAGGAATTATATGACGCATGATTTAGAGTTGATTGTTATTGTGTTTGTGTCGAAGCTTTGAAGGCATTATTTGTTTTGTTCGAGATTTGAGATGTTTTGTCATCTTAAGAGCTTAAAGTATTTCTTTGATCATAAAGGATTGAATGCGAGGTAGAGAGGATGATTGGGACTTCTGAAGGATTATGGTTTTGGTTTGAATTACCATTCGGGTAAAGCAAACGTGGTAGCTGATGTATTGATTTGGAAATCTTTGCATATACCGATGATGATGGTAAGAGAGTTAGAACTGATTGAGCAATTTTGTGATATGAGTTTGGTTTGTAAAGAGACTTTTTATGGAGTTAAGCTTGATATGTTGAAGCTTACTAGTGGAATTCTTGATGAGATTCGAGAAGGTGAGAAACCTGATTTGAGTTGGTAGATCAGTTGGATGTGATGAATCAAAGTCGAAGAGTCGATTTTTGGATTAATGGAATGGTATCATGAGATGTCGTGATAGAGTTCGTATTCCAGATATTGTTGCATTGAAAAAACGTATTCTTGAGGAAGGACATTGAAGTAGACTGAGTATCCATCCCGGTGCTATGAAGAGGTACCCGGATTTGAGGAAATGTTTTGGTGGCCAGGGATGAAGAAAGAAGTGGTTGAGTTTGTATATGATGGTTAGACTTGTCAGAAGTCGAAGACTGAACATCAGAGACCGTTGGGTCTGATGCAACCGTTGAGTATTCTAGAATGGAAATGGGATAGCATTTCTATGGATTTTGTGACAGGGTTGCCAAAGACTTTGAAGGGATATGATTTGATTTAGGTGATTGTTGATAGATTGACTAAATCGGCTCATTTTGTACCGATGAGGATCAATTATTCGTTGTAGAAGCTTGCCAAATTATATATTGATCAGATTGTGAAGTTGCATGGTGTTCCGTCGAGTATCGTGTCTGATAGAGATTCGAGATTTACGTCGAGGTTTTAGGAAAGTTTGCAGACAACTTTGGGTACCATGTTGAGATTGATTTATGCCTATCATCCGCAGACGGATGGATAGACATAGAGAACTATCTAGTCCTTAGAGGATTTGTTGAGAGCTTGTGTATTGGATCAAGGTGGATCATGGGATAGTCATTTTCCATTGATTGAGTTTACCTATAACAACAATTATCATTTTAGTATTGGGATGAAACCGTATGAGGCTTTGTATGACAGGAGGTGTAGGACTCCTTTGTTCAGGCAAGAGTGTTGTACTCGGACCTGAGATTGTGCAAGAGACGAATGAGAAAATCAAGAGGATCCAAGAAAAGATGAATGTTTCACAGGATCGTCAGAAGAGTTACCATGATAAGAGGAGGAAAACACTTGAATTCCAAGAGGG